CAGTCTCTGGCTAGTAGGGTGATTTTTGGGTTAATTCTTAGGTCATACCACCACTCGGGAATCTCCAAGCTGTGTCGTCTGTGCCGTCAGGGTCGCTCAGTCCGCTGCCAGACCGCAGCTCCGTGTGTCTCCTTTTTTGGTATTTTCAAGCAAATTCTTCTGCTAGTTGGGATTAGGCCACTTTTGTATCCTTCCCTTCAAGGCTCAGGGGTCCAAGATTATTTCCTGTGTCTGTGTTAATTGGTTTTCCTTTTCTTTGTTGAAGAGCGTCTGTGCAGTCCTTGTGCTTAGTCCGCCATCTTGCTGGAACCCCCCCACCATTGGATTTTAAGGTTGTAAATCTCTATGGAAGCTGACTGCCCCATCTTCCTTCTGCAGAGCGGCTGGTAGGTTTGAACCACCAACCTTTTGTTTAGCAGCCAAATGAACAGAGTAATACTCAAATTGCACCACCAAAGCTCCTTTATATATATATATATATTTAATTGCTTCTCTTGATTATGAAATTCAAATTTTTAAGGCAGTGATTTGATGATGTTTAAGCTACAAGGTAACCCCACGGATTCTGTCTGACCTCATTCCTTTTGAAAAATTTCAGTTTTATGTAAAAAGATTAGGAATGTGGCTCATAACAAGCCAAACTACCACCTTCTAGGTATCAAAGACAACAAGGTCAAGAATGTAACAAGCCTTCAGAGAGCATCACCTGTGCCCATTCCCCCACCCCCTTAAGGAAGCATGACAGTGCCCACCCATCAGGGCAGTCTGCAGAGTGATAATTAAAACCATAGTCATAACCTCAGGGGACAGTGAGTTTATGGTAACGGAGGAGGAGTAACTCAGCAAAAGAGGATGGCTGCACAACTGGAAGAATGTAATCAGTGTCACGGAATTGAACATGTAGAAACTGTTGAATCATTGTATGTTCTGCTGTATATATTCTCAACAACAAAATAATAAAATAAAAAGGAAACCACAGTCATGTCAAGCCAGTCACAAACGCATTACATCATGTGGATTTGTCTGCTGCTACACAATCCACTTTGCCTTCTGTTCACAGACTCATATCCCAAATCAACTCACTATAATAAAAACCCATGAAGTCATACCTAGGCAGCTAATAAATCCTTTGAATTCAATGAGATGGTCCATGTTGTCATCCAGGAGTCTGAAAGTCCTTTCTGCAAGGATCTCTGTGTGGGCTCCGCAGGTCCATGGTGAGACAAGCTTAAACAGGTTTACAAACTGCTTAGGGTCTATGCGGTACTGCTCTGCATAAGGCCTGTTGGGGTCATGGCGCTGCACCACAGGACTGGACTGCTCCCAGTAACAGCTCATCATGTGTTCTCTCTTAGAAACAAGAGGGAGAAGAGATCCATGAGACCACTGCTCGTGTGGGGGATGGCATGCAAACAGCCAGGGCTAACCCACAAGGCCCTCCTCTCGCCTTGTTCTGCCTCTTCCAGTAACTGTTTACTGCATAAGCAATGTTATAGCACAAACAAAGGAAAAGTTAAAATTACTCATGATCTCACCACTCCAATGAATCAGATGTGAAATTTTTCTTTGTTACCTTGTGTTGTTGTTGTTATGCGCCATCGAGTCGGTCCCGACTCATAACAACCCCTCCTTGGGTTTCCGAGGCGGTTACCACTACAGAAGTAGATTGCCCAACCTTTCTTCCGAGGAGTGGCTGGTGGGTTTGAACCGCCAGCCTTCTGGTTAGCAGTTAAGTGCTTTAGCCACTATGCTACCAGAGCTCCTTTGTTACCTTGTAGCCCTCACTTACGTGAATATGTAACTTTAACACAGAAGAGATGTAATTTTTATTCTGGTATTATCACTGTCAATCATATTGTTTGAAAATCAAAAGTATTAGAGAAATTTATAGGAAACAGAAGAAACTAATAACACTGGTTATCTGTGGCAAGAAGAAGTCAGGGGGCAGAACCCAAAAATGAAAGGAAAACTTGTACCATAGACTCTTCCATCCTTTCTGAATTTTGATTCACATGAACAGATCAACAGCTTAAACAACTAAAAGGAAAAAAAAAATAGGTGATCCTAAGCCTTGGGAATAGAATGGAAATGAAAGCAAACAATACTCTCTCTGTCGCCAAGGACCAAGATGACCTTTTTAGAATGTATCATGTAGATCCATTCTCCATTACCTCTTTGGACATCTCCAGTCACAAAAGCCTGAAACGGTTCCCAATGACTACAGGGTTCTTTGCAATTTCAATACCCTCTACCCACAAAGATGGGACAGATACAAGGGCGGACACTGTGACACATATGCACATATCCCTGGATGGAAACCCAAATGCCATTTGTTGTCAGTAGTCTGTATTCTTCACATAGGCTTTGCAAAATCTAAAAAGTACAAGAACTTCTGTGTGTGAAATGAAGGTCTAATAAAACTCCATTCCTAAAAATCCAAGGCACACTATAAATTTTCATGTATATTTGTGTATACTGTGATGCTAAGGGCCTACAAAATGCTGCCCAGGAAAGAAGAGTTGTAATATACAGGCAAAGGACTAATAGAGCTACTTTACAAAGAATCCCACAGGAAGACAACCAATAAAATAGGTAAAGGATATGAACAGGTGACTCAAAGACAATTAGACAACAGACTTAGGAGATCGTACTCAACCTCACTAGTGAACAAATTTAAATTAAAATGAAATGCAATTTCCCACCAGACTAGCAAAAGTTTATAAGAGCAATGATATTAAATGCTGGTGAGTGTGGAATGTAAGAAAATGAGCTTCCTTAGGTACTGGGTAGAGCTGTAATTGGCAAAATCAAACATCTGAAAGGTACTTTTTATCAGTATTGCCTAAACTGGGTATGTGCATTCCCTGTGATGCAGAAATTCCACCTCAAGGAACCCATCCTACAGAAACAGCAGCACTGGTGTCTGGGTGAATGTACAGCACTGTTTACAAAATAGCAAAAACCTGGAAATGACATAAATAGACCTCAATAGGTGAATGGTTAAATAAATTAAGGTTCAGTCACAAAATGAAACTATGCAGTCATTAAAAAAGAGAAGAGACCCAGTGGTCACCTTTTATCCACATAAAGATGGGCTTATAAAATAAACCATATCACCCATGAATACCTTGCTCCCTTAAATAATTGACTACATGAGAACAAGTAGTCAACATTTACCCTAACAAAGATGAGAAGCCAAGGAGGGGCAGGGAAGCTAGAATAATGGAAACAGAACCAAAAGAATGGAGATAATGAGAATGTTGACACATTGTGAAAAACGTAACAAGTGTCATGGACCAAGAGGTATAAAAATTGTTAGATGGAAACCTAATTTGCTATGTAAACTTTCACCTAAAACACAATAAAGTATTTTTAAGAAAGACAAAAGAGAGGTACCTTCCTTAGAACAATCAATCGTGGGAGATAAGAAGGGCAGCACTTGTGCAGGGAGATAGCTCAGAGGGCAGGGATGCATAGGAAAGGACACAGGGAAGAGCGAACAACAGGGAGGAAGTGGGAAGAGAGCGGTTACATTATGGAGATTATAATTAATGTCATGAGACAAAATGGGTACAAACTGTTGTAGGGAAAATGAACTTGTTCTGTAAACTTTCACCCAAATCACAATTAAAGAGAGAGAGAGAGAGAGAAAGCTCTGTAGTACTGATCTAAAAAAAGTCAGTCCAGTAAAAACTGTGAAAGCCAGAACTTGGGTAAGGTGGAAAGCTGTGAGAGAAGGCAAATACAAATATTTTCCACTAATAGTAATAGAAGAGCGGTAAAACCGCACCCTGTCAAAGTTAAGAAAACCTGCAAGACTGAAAAACAAAGCAGTCCTGTGGAGTGCCAGCTCTCACAGGTTTCAGTATGTGATTAGCTGGCGAGAAAATGCAGGCAATTGTGTAGTACAATCCCACTTTAATGGGACAAAAGTGCGTGTGTGTGTCTACAAATAGACGCAGGTACAAGGGGGAAAATCAAGAAAGATGACTGCCGTATTGTTAGTGATAATCACCTGTACAAGGTGAGACTGTAGGGGCAGCCAGCATGCGCAGCCAGTACGAGCCACTTTCATTTCTTACTTTAAAAGGTTTGTTTTGTTTTATTTTAATGCTGAGAATAGGTATAATTTTATTTTCTGTGTTTCATGTCTTTCAGTTAAAGTTTGAAAATAAAAGTCTTTCTATTTTAGAAAATACAAGTCTTACTCAAAACACTAAGCAAGCAAAATCGTATCAAAAAAAGAAACCATCTAGGGCATAAAATAAGCCAGTAATCATGAAGGCATTCAATTGACCATTAATACGAACACATTCATTGACTACATAAAGCACTGCTGCAGGGTGTGTGCAGGAGTCATTTATGACCTGGAGTCTGTATTTATACTGTTCACATCCTACTTGGAGAATAAAATCCATGAAGCTGTTCTTCATTTCAAAGAGTAGGAAACATCACAAATCTGAATTTATGTAATTTAAAGGAATACTTCAAATTAACACTAAAAATACATTTCATTAAGCACCAATCACATTGCTCACTTCTAATAGAAAAGAGTATTTAACAAAGACAGTCAGAGCTGTTTCTTGTTAACATAAAGAATGCCCATGCCCACATAATTCAGGCTTAAGGACAGATAGAATGAAATTCTAAAATTAAGGCATGGATTCCTTATTAAGAATCCATCACATCAACTCTTTAAATCTTGAATCTAAAACTAGCATGAGGTCACCTTTTATCTAAATAAAATAGATAAAATAGACTGGCTCACAAAATGAAGAGCATCGCCAATTAGTAGTATGCACCTTTAAAAAATCATCTATATGAGACCAAACCATCAACAACTACTTTAAATATAAAGATGAGAATGTAAGGGGGCAGGGAAACTAGATGAATGGGAACAAAACAACCAGAACAGAAATAATGAGAATCTTCATGCATTGTGAAGAATGTAACCCATGTCACTGAGCAAGTTGTATAGAAATTGTTGAATAAGAACCTAAACTATTGTGTAAACTTTCACTGAAAAGACAATAAAATATTATATAAGAGGAACTCATCACACCGATGTTCATTGAAGCTCTATTCACAATTGCCAAAAGACAGCATCAACAATGAATGGATACACAAAATATGGTATATACATGAAACAGAATATTACTCAGCTATAAAGAGAAATGAAGTTCTGATACATGCTACAACATGGATGAACCTTAAAAACACCATGCTGAATGACATGTCAGTCACAAAAGGACAAATATTGTACAATTTCATTTATATGAACTATCTATAATTTTATATAAATATCAAGAATATAATGCACTCTGGTCGTGTAGTGGTTAGAGCATTCGGCTGCCAACCAAACTGTCAGCAGTTCGAACCCACCAGTTGCTCCATGGGAGAAAGATGAGGCAGTCTGCTTCTGTAAAGATTTACAATCTTGGAAACTCTATGGAGGAGTTCTACTCTGCTCTAAAGGGTCGCTATGAGTTGGAATTGACTCAGTGGCAGTGGGTAGAGGTATGGTTTTTGGTTTGGATCTAGAATTGGCAAATACATAGAGACCAATGTGTATTAGAGGTTACTGCAGGTGGAAAAGGTAGAGTCATTGCTTAGGGGGCACTGAGTTTCTGTTAAAGGTGGTGGGACAGTCTGAAATACAGGGTGGTAATGGTTGCACAACATGAGTGTAACCAATGTCACTAAACCGTACATGCAAAATATGTTGAAATGGCAAGTTTTATCACTTATTATTTTTACCACAATAAAACAATTTTTTTAAAGAAAATAACATCACATATTTATAAAACATTGTAAGGGCATTTCTACATGGCCCCTTCCCTTGAGAAAAGAAAATTTTGATTCAAAAGACAAGACGTGTGTATAAAACCCAACTCCAGAACATTGTGCCCCACAGTACTAATAGGAGTATTAAAATACATAAAGTCCTGACCATGGAAATTCAGAGGAGTCAGTACTGTCAGGGAACAGAGCAGTCGGAGAGGCTGTCATGGGTGTGATGCTGGAGCCGGGGTTTGAGGGGACTGAGGTGTTGAGCTGCATGTGTAAGGCAAGCACCCCACTTGCACAAACCAAACTAGACAACTTGATTACTTGAATTTCTTTTGGCAGTGCATTTGAAAAGATCTCGTATTTATAGAGTTTTGTAAGTTTTTTTTTTTCCTTTTAGCATTATAAAAACCTAAATGAATGGCTTTTTAAGCTTCAAAACAAATCATCTGTTTATCTGCTCTTCTGACCCTAGAATTCCCCATTTTTCCTCCTTGAAGGCCCAAGAGAGGTTGGGGGGTGGGGACACCTAGTAATCTTTGACTCCATGCTTTCTCTTCACGCAACAAAGGAAGTGATAAAACTCAGAAACAGGTAATGTTAATGGGAGGCTTGGGTCTGAGAAGTTCTCACACACATCCTGCTTGTCACAGCTGAGGAGTGCCAGGAAACACTAACCCCAGCCTTCTTGGAGACTGCAGAGAAACGTGCCACTCAGGTACTTGGAGGTTTCCAACACCTGGGGCTCTGCTTTCCGAGGACCAGCACCAAAAGCTCAAAGCCAAACTTATGCCATCGAGTTGATTCCAACTCATAGCAACCCCCATTGGGCTTCCAAGGCTGTAAATCTTTAGAGAAACAGACTGCCTCATCTTTCTTCTGCAGAGTGGCTGGTGGGTTTGAACCACTCACTGACCTTCTGATTAGCAACCAGATGCCTTAACCACTACACCACAAGAGTTTCTTCTGAGGATCAAAAAATGCTGGTTATTTCTGTTTCAACGATTTTGGCAACTTGAGTTCAAAGGTGAAAGAAACTCAGAGTCTCCTCCCAGGAAGTGTGCTGCTGCTGCTGCTGCTTTTTTGGAGTACTTGGTTTTCACTGTGGTTAATATACAGGCAACCAAACATCTGCCATTTCAATCATATACTCAGGGACATTAAATACATGCATCATGTTGTTCAACCATAACCATTAACCATTCTCTAATTTTTCCATCACCAGAGCCTGCACCCTTTTCAACGCTGTACTTATTTTTTGCAATTTTTCTTCCTTCACTGTCTGAATATCAACAAGGGATCCATGTGTCTGCCTCTCCACTCCCATTTTTATGGACTGTTTCAAGCAAGAAAACTTCTAACAAAATGCTTGAAGATGTTCTTTGCTGGGTGATTTAAGTAGCAAAACCTGGGAATCCACCTCAGTGTTTAACTATTAGAAGTACGGTTTAATATATTAAGTGTTACCAATATGATGATTATAAAGTCATTAAAAAAATGCTAACAAGTATACAAGTGTTAATAACAGCAGCACAAGAAAACGGAGAATAAAAATTAGCATGCATATCAGCTACACAAATATAAAAACAGGTATACATATATTGTGAGGTAGGATTATGAGGAATTAAAAACCACATGAGGTGATAATTTCAGTAACAGTTGCCATGGACAGGCAGCTCATTAGAACAGTAAACAGCTAGAAGTATGGATCACCAGCACCAGACCCTCAAAGGAGCGCAGTAGGAGCTCCCGTGCGTGAGCCATGCCCGGCCTGTCTGGTTCCCAAGAGAACCCCCTGCCTCCTTCCTCTCAGATGCTTGGCTATGGTCTGGGTTCCAGCTAGAACATTCACACCATCTAGGAAGAAAGCTGCTGATAGAGGAGTGAGATTGTGAAGGTTCTCAGCAGAAGCAAGCAGACATGGGAAAGACAGAGCTGGCAGACACGGGCAGCTTCAACCCCTGCTGCCCCAAAATAGCACGGAGCCAACGCCGATGGCATTTGTGTGCTCCCACCCTGGACGGGCTGGGTGGCACTGGCTCTGGCCTGGCCCCAGGCCTGCAACTCCCTCATCTCTCCAGATTTCCATACCTTGAATAAGTCGTAGAGTTCCTCTAAGTCTTCAGGAAGAATCGAGACTTCTGGGATAACGACACGAAGCTTCAGGAAAGAATAAAGAGTGATGCAGTGAATTCTACACCTGCACCCCCAGAAGGACAGGAGGAGGAGGGGAAGCTTTTCCTCCTAGTGTGGAGCACTGGGCGTGCTGCGACACCCACTGCCCTGTGGAACAGCTTTTTCCACCGGAGCAGCTGCAGCTTCCAGACCTTTCGGATACAAAGATCACTTTACAGTATCTTTCCCCAATTTTATCCTTGACCTCTAAGTCATTCAATAGTGCTTCAGGACTAATGTATTAAGTTCTAATGGAAGCTGAAAAGTTAGTGAAGATACAGCTTGGCCAGCAATTTCCTTCTGAATAACAACCCACACCTGCTGCAAACCATCTGTGCTAGGCATTTTATATCCCACCTCACTTAATCCAACTCATAGCAAGCCCTCCTTGGGTTTCTGAGGCAGTATTACTACGGAAGTAGATTGCCCAACCTTCCTTCTGAGGAGTGGCTGGTGGGTTTGAACCACCAGCCTCTGGTTAGCAGTCAAATGACTTAGGCACTATGCTACCAGAGCTCCCAATCCTACACGGTAGGTATTATTATCCCCATTTTACAAATGGAAAAACCAAGGCTCAGAATGGTTCCCTTGCTCACACTCTGATTCCATAACTAATGCTGTTTGCATACCAGGTCATCCAAGTTTTTAATTTAACGCAAAAAAAAAAAAAAAAAAAATGCCAGCATTCCTACATTACATCACCATAATGGACACACATACGTATGCTTCTCCCAGGTGAACCCCCAACTGCTGCAAACAGCCACTCTGAGGAGCTCCCTACTCACCACATTCTGCTTTGTGGTATTTTCATGCCCTTGGAGAACCCTGATCCTGTGTTTACAACGCAGGTGCTCAATCTGCTTCACAGACTGGTCTCCAAATTTCTGCAGGAAAATAAGGGCTCACTCACTTACAAAATCCCCTTCTGTGCAGAAACAGAGGAAACAAGAAATCACCCAGGAATCCCCCCTGGAAGTCCATCTTCCAAAAAGCTCCCTAGGGACGGAGGTGGGAACATGCAGGGAGTGTGTCTGTGGGGTGAGGGTAGACTCTAGTTACCTCGTAGGAGTCCCGGATCAAGTCAGCAATGTCAGTCACAGGGTAGGGCTCCTGGTCATCGGAGAAAAAAGCATGGTAGCTGCCGACTGAGGGCCCAGGGCTCTCCTCATTTTTTATGTGATCCAGAAACCTGAGCACAACCATCCACATGAAGACACGTTTATCCTCATCTGGGAACCACAGGACACCTCCTACTCTGACAGGGGGCTTCACACATTTTGAAGCACTTTCTTATATAGCTCAGTTGACTCCATACATGGTGTGAGAAAGGCAAGTTAGCAATTAATGTCCTCATAAAGCCAGGCTTGTCAATCTGGGCTCCAAGGACAAGTTTCTGGGGTTCAAGACTCCTCAGTGAAATAATGTACAAAAGGTTTCAGTGGAACAACACACTATCTGGTTCTGTGTCACCCCTGTGATTGGTTATGATCCAATCTTTGTGACCCATAGTGTTTTCACTGTCTAATTTTCAGATCACCAGGCTTTTCTTCCCAGCCTGTCTTAGTCTGGAAGCTCCACTAAAACCTGTTCAGCATTAGAGCAACACGCAAGCCTCCACTGACAGGCAGATGGTGGCTGTGTATGAGGGGCACTAGCGGGGAACAGAACCCAGGTTTCCTGTTGGAAGATGAGAATCCTACCTGACTCACTACTGCTCCCATTCTTAAAGGGAATCACAATTTTAAATGCGATTCCATCTCCAAGAGAACCAGGTTTTAGTCCTAAGCCTAATTTGACTTTTCTTTCCTTGCAACCATTGCTGTTGTTATGTGTCGTTGAGTCGGACCCGACTCATAGCGACCCCACCTTGGGTTTCCGAGGCAGTATCACTACGGAAGTAGATTGCCCCATCTTCCTTCCAACTGGAAGGAGCTCTGGTGACATAGTGCCTAAGGCATTTGACTGCTAACCAGAAGGCTGGTGGTTCAAACCCACCAGCCACTCCCCAGAAGGAAGATGGGGCAATCTACTTCCATAGTGATACTACCTCTGAAACCCAAGGAGGGGTCGCTATGAGTCAGATCTGGCAGTGAGGTTTTTTTTGCAACCATAAGATGTCTGAAATATCCAGACAGCTGTCTGGAGCCAACATTTCCTAGAGTTTTCCCATTCAAGGCCATTGTAGAACATCTAGACTCATAAGACATTTGAATGTTCTTAAAGAAAACATGATAGCCCTCTCTATTACTGGACTCTTACTTGGAGGAGAGGAGTAAGGGAAGATGGGGCTCTTCAACACACACTGGTAATAGTACCGCGGACTGGCTCTGGGAGGCGAAAGACTGACAGGAGCGTAGAGGCAGAGAGGAACTGAAAAAGCTCCCAAAGTGACGACACTGCTGAGCACCTGCTGCTGTCCTACCTGTGGTCTCCCAGAGTACCGAGGCTCCACGCTCTACCCCCAGTTTGCCACAGAAGCAGATGGCCAGAACCCACCTGCTGAGGATCATCAAGGCCTGGCCATCGTCCTTGCTGCTGCACAGGTCCTCAGCATTGGCCTCGAGCACAGCCAGCCCCAACTGGAAGATGGCTTTGATCCCATCATAGAAGAAGCAGTCTACAACATTCACTGCACTCTCTAAAGGCATAATGCTGAGGAACAGAGTCAGGAACCACGAGAGAGATATGGACGCCAGGGCTGAGAGGTCATTCATGTGCTCTGCCAGCTCGGGGAGGTGTTCTTTGATGAGCTCTTCAAAGACAGACTGGTCCACTTGAGCCCCTTAAAAAGAAAGGCAACAAGGCTTTGGTTGGGGAGGGCTTCACACTCTCTAAAGTTAGCCAGAATGAAAACTACGCTGAGATTAATAGAACAAGGAAACAGAGTACAGAGCCCGGAAAAGAAGCCACAATTAGCAAACTGATTTTTGGCATTTTCGCTAAGGTTATATAATAGGAAAAGGATAGTCTTTTCAAAAAATAATGCTGAATCAACTGGATAGCTGTATGGAAAATAAATAAATAACCTCAACCTCTACCTCACACCATATAGAAACACGTATTTGAAATAAACCATAGACACCTAGATATAAAAGCTACATGTAAAACTTCTAGTAGAAAGCATAAGGAAAAGGAAAAATTTCTAAGCACACAAAAGTACTAACTATAGAAAAAATTTTAAGTTGAATTTCACCAAAATTTAAGACAGCCTTCTTCAACAGACACCATCATAAAATAAAAATGCAAGTTTCAAACAAGGAGAAAATGTTTCCAGTCCATATATCTGACAACAGTCCTTCATCCAAAATAAAGAACTCCTAACTCACTAAAATCTCACTGCCATTGAGTCAATTCCAACTCACAGTGGCCCCACAGTACAGAGTAGAACTGCTCCATAGGATGTCCAAAGCTGTAAATCTTTACAGAAGCAGACTGCCTTATTGTTCTCCCTAAGAGCAGCTGGTGGGTTGGAACCACCAACCTTTTCTTTAGCAGCTGAATGCTTTAACCACTATACCACCAGAGTTCCTTCCCAGGTCTTAGTGTCAGTGCAGAACTACTCTGTTTTTCACTTTGCTACTTATTCCTTGGGTCTAGGAATTCCTTCTTGTAAATTTAGCTATCCACCTAAAATAATACGTTTTCATTTATCCAAAACGTATAGGTGTCTATAGCAGGAGAGTATCTAAGTTACCTTATGCCACCATTTTGCCAGAACTGTACAGAAAATCCCACGAGTTCATTTTCAAATTCAAGAATCAAAGTATATGTGTGCAGAGATGAGCTGAGTGGTACAGAGGGATTTTGTAACTAGGACTGATGATAAACTTCTTTCCCCAAGCTTTGTCATTATTCTCCAGGTAGAGACAACTGAAGGAGGGCAGTTTACCTATCACTCGGTGGTTGAAGTAATCAGGCAACATCCGCTCACACACAGCAACCAGCAACCAAAAGGCTTCTTCTTCTTTGGCATACAGCAGCAATACTGAGGTCAGGATGTTCATGGACTGCTCAGGAGTTCAGAGAGGAGCCACAAGTTACTGGCCAAGGCGCACGATACCACAGAGATTTAAAAATGTACAAGCCCAAATGATCCACATACTTAAAAAATTTTTGCAGGTGACAGAAAATAGCACATTCCAACTGTACTGACAATATGAAATGGGATAGCCATGATATCACTGTGGGTTCTCACAAGGCGGACCAGTTCAGCAATCAGCCACTACTGAGTCACTGTCCTCCATCCAGCAGTGCTGGATTTAGCCGTGTTGCACACCTCGGGCTTTGATCAAATCTAGCTGCGTACACATTCTCTCTCACTCTCTCTCTCTTTCACACACAAACACACAACCCCATACAACTTTATTCAGCCACACATTTTTCTCACTCACAGGAGAGCAAAATTTGAAATCTGACACTTTGAAATGTCAGAAAACACTCTCATCCAGTCTTGTGTTGGATCATTTGTTGTTTTAACTTACTGATTTGTATCTTGTGCTTATTTACTATATCCTTGAACTCAGAAACTGTTCAGAGGATGTCTTACTTGTGTTTTTTTGAAGGAAAGTGAGTGCCCTAAGTATCTTTTTCCTCCCCAATAGCACTGCCATTTTTGAAGTCATCCTGATAGTTTCTGTAGAGGAAACATAAAGCTCCAAGGGAGTTACAGGTGATCCCATTCCACAAGGAGGCTCCAGAGGAGCAGTGAAGACTGAATGTGCCCTGGAGCAAACAGCTATCAGAGTGCACATGTTTCTCCCAGCACTAGACAACTTCCTAAATCTTAATTATCAGCCAGTTTGACTGTACAAAGATAATGTCCTTTGGCCCTTTTTAGGTATGTCCTTTAAGGGCAAGGACCACGGTTTGCTCACAGCACCAAGCACAGTGCCTTCACACAAAACAGCCCTCAGGACTATATGGCTGAAAAGAGCAGAGAACCAGAGGGTCCAGGTAGATAAACGTGAGACACAGAGCCCCCAGGAGACCTCTGCTCTTTGGTGCACACAACTTCACCTGGCAGTATCCAATTTGAGGGTTCCGGTGGGCATAGGCTGTCAGCACTCTCCTCAAAGCAGCTATTCCTGTTTCATTTTGGAAGGCGGGGTGCTCTGGTAAGGAACGGTGCAGGTCACGTTCGATCTCCTCTGTCACTAGGCAACACTTCCCCATGGACTCTTCTACCAGATTCCCATAGTAACCAGGATGGGAGGCGAGGTCTGTGACAGCATCTAATGGTTTTAAAAGCAATTTTTTAAAAGGAAATGATTATCAGGTTGGTGTCAACATGGGGAAAGGGCTGGTCCATCAGAGAGCCTCAGTGGGATCAAATATTTTGAGACTATGTAACCAAATAAAGTTCATTTATACCTGTGGTCTATTTCAAAATCAAAACCAAAAAAAGAAAGAATTTGACTTTTCTAAGAATAACCTTACATAGAGGGTGGAAAAGCTTGCACTAGAAATAGTATTAATACGTTTTTCATACACTGTATTTCCTAATACCAGAAGGAGGAGTACAGAAGCGTCATGCATTGGTTCAACAAGAAGTTATTCAGCAGCTGTGTATAAAGCACATGAGAAGATGTAACTGTGATTAAATAAAGCTGACAATTAAAATGGAGCCAGCATACACCAGCATGAGTTCTGAAGGCTAAGCTCATGATGTATAAACCTAAGCAGATAGATGAAGCACAGAAAACTCCCTGCACTAGCCCAGGTCTCTGCAGCCTTTGTTGTCTGCCCAGCAGCCCAACATCAGGGATGAATTAATGCTGCGTGAGGATCTGATTCACTCTCAGCCAGCACCAGGGCTGGCTTTTGGTTCAGTGGTAGAATTCTCGCCTTCTATGTGGGAGACTCAGGTTCAATTCCCAGCCAATGCACCTCATGTACAGCCACCATGTGTCTGTCAGTGAAGGCTTGCAGGTTACTATGATGCTGAACAGGTTTCACTGGCACTTCTAGACTAAGAGAGAGTAAGAAGAAAGGTCTGGCAACCTGTTACCAAAAATCAGCCAGTGGAGGCCCTAGGATCACAGCAATCTATTGCGGCAATGGTACAGGACCAGGCAGCATGCCGTTCCATGGTGCATGGGGTTGCCCTAGGATCACAACAATCTATTGCGGCAATGGTACAGGACCAGGCAGCATGCTGTTCCACGGTGCATGGGGTCGCCATGAACCAGGGGCTGACACGACAGGAGTTAACAATTAAACTCTGCAAGAACTGGCAGGATAGTGGGCTCCCATACTGACATTAGCCTCATACAGGGAGATGCCAGGAAGGCAAGTGGTTGCAGAAAGGGGCCTGACTCTGCCTTTAACTAGTAGTTAATGTTTTAAAATTCTTAATGAGTTTAGTAAAAAAAACCCTCCTTCTCAACTCTCCCATTTGCAACTCCTGACTGAGATCCTCCTCATAGCTATTAAACACTCACTATGACATCACGTGTAATAATCAGCATTTACACTAAATGCTCCTGTTCATCAAGCAACAGCTTAAATTTCTGTCAACAAAGGAAGCATTCTATCACTATGAAGACATTGTCCTGTATGAAGTGACCACACAGGTTATAAAAAGGATGGGTGTGCAAATGTTGAATTAAAGTGTTTAATTAAAAAAAAAAAAAAAAAAGGATGGGTGTGTATATGTGCCTTAAAGAGATTTATGGAAGTGTTTTGATCATGTCTTTGGTTGGCACTGAACAAGCAGCAGCAGAAAGCAGCCAGGGGGCAGGAGGGATGTCTGAGCATGTGAATCAAGGTGCATCAATAAATAAATATAAAAAACCCTCAGAAACCAAACTCACTGCCCGTTGAAGTATCAAAAAATAACCATTCAAATTATCATGAAATCCAAACGTTCTAGAGCCATGAGGGTGGATGAAACCCTGAAACTATTGCTCTAAGATAGTCTTTAAACCTTAACCCAAAACGGTCCCCAGAAGCTGTCTTTAAAACAAACAGTAGCTTAGCTTAATTAGTAAAGAACATCAACCTTGGGCACCGTGCTCTTTTCAAGAACTGTCTGTATGGGTTCAAACTGACAACAGCAACTCAAAGGATAAGAGGAGAAACTTAGGGGCTAGTGGGTTTATTTTAATGGAGGTGGAATAATTTGGAAAAGTATAGCAAGAAAGGTTGCAGAACTTGAAGGATGAAATCCATGTCACTGTATTGTGTGTGAAGGAATTATTGAATTGGTGTTTGTTTTGCTCTGCATATTTTCACATACCCACACATTCACACATATTAGATAAATAAATAAATATCAAGCAAGTTCAATGCCATCAAGTATGCCAGTAGGGAGAGGGGAAGTAGGGCTGGACTATTTTGGGGGAGAAATAGTGAAGCGGGAGGAGAGAGCTGACGGAATAAGGAATCCACACGAAGTAGGACAAGGCAAGGTTCAGAGCCTGGGGCAAGCAAGGAGTCAGAGGACAGTTCTGAGGCCCAGTCTCTAAGAGCCTCATTGCTGACATGAACACATGTGGGACTGGGGACGGGGAGCTTAATACCATGCCTCCCACAGCACCCTGAAAGGGCAAAATCAGCATTTCCTTCAGGAGCAGAAAACTCACACCATCACAACTGCAGGTTTCCTCTTTCCTCTTCCCACTCATGGTGCCTATGACTTCTTTACCAAAGAGAATAAATCACTCACAATTTCTGCTTAAAGAGTGACAGAGCAATGTCTGACTAAGGTGATTTCTGGAGAACCCATCCATCAACAAGTGTCCTGGGGAGGGACTCCCAGAAACCATCAAACAGCAGCAGAGGGAAGCCCTGAGGATAGACAAGGTCACTGCTGTAGGAATAAAATGATACAGAAAGAAGAAATGGGGACAGAAGACCAATCTCCTGCAGTGTGGTCTCTTATGGACGCTATCTGTCTTCAGTGAAGGAGGGACAAATAGAAACTATACTCAGGAATTTCTTTCAATGACACTATACCAAAAACAAAGCAAAGAAACAAAAAACAAACCCACTGCCTTCAAGTCAAATCTGACTCACAGCAACCCTATAGGACAGACTAGAACTGTCCCATAGAGCATCCAAGGTTGTAATCTTTCTAGGAAGAAACTGCCACATCTTTTTCCTGGGGAGCAGCTGGTGGGTTTGAATTGCTGACCTTTTGATTAGCAGCCTAACGCTTTAACCACTGCACCACCAAGGCAGAGTTTATGAAGATTTCTTGTTTAGTCTATTTCAGAGCTCATGCCTATAAAGACACTTCACTTCCAGGGGTTTGCTAATAGAATTCTCAACACAATGTATAAAGTCATTTTTAAACAAGAGGGGATTATTTGCCCCAGACCTCCACATTTACAGAGAACATTACAGCCCACAGACCACAAGCAACTAGACCAAGTTCCTGCAGCTGAAACAGATGGGTTTCTGAAGTTCTTAGGAAGGAACTGCACTGTCAGAAAGTAGTAGATGACGTCATCTGCACACACATGTGCGTGCGCACACACCCACACAACGCTCAGTTTTAGGCCTCTGACTCAAAACATTTGGCCTGAAGACCAGAAACCCTTACCTGAGAAGAGAAGCCAGAGTTTGCCACGTAAAGATTCAGGGATCCCCATGGCCACGAGCTTGCGGATCTTTTCTGTGCGAAACATACAAACAGTTCTGCCATATTCCACAAAGTGGTCGTTCCACAGGCTTATTTTTATCTGTTCTCTGGACTGGAAATGGAAAGATTCTTAATGTACAAAGACATTTGCCCACACCCTGCACCATAGTTAATCCACAATACATCACGGAGAAAGCACTGCCCCTTTTAACACAGAAACCAGCAACCACAGGCAATGAAGCCTGTATTCGTTCAGCAAATGTTTACGAGCCTCTGTAAGACACAGGATACAAAGATGAGGAACGGAGCAGCAGCCTTTAAGGAGCTCACAGCCCACTGGGAGCATTTACACAAATAAAATACAATTCCCCTGACAATGTGGACAATAAGTATATGTATGCCCAAATACAAAAGGAGCACAAAGGAGCTGGGAGGGTGTGGATGGTAATGGTGATATTAGGCAAATCCTAACATCCTGACCATGTTGACACCAAGCTGGCTGCTGCAGCACAGGCTGACTCAGAGGGCAAAGGGGGGTGGAGGATATCACCATTTGCTTTGAGCTTCCTGACAGCCAGAGAAAAACATTAACCTGAACTGAAATTACAGTTACATTTTAAGAAACAAGAAAGGAGGGACCCTGGTCAACTCGTCTAACCTACAAGGGACAAGTCTCATCAATCCTTCTAACAGGTGGGGGGTATGCCCTGAGCCCCTCTAACATGAGAGATATGCCATGAGCCCCTCTAACATGTGGAGGTACTCCATCAATCCCTCTAACATGTAGGGGGCACCCCATCAGCCCCTCTAATATGTGGGGGTAACCCACTGACCCCTCTAACATGTGGGGGGTATGCATTGACCCCTCTAACATGGGGTACCCCATCAACCCCTCTAAGATGTGAGTGGTACCCTAATAACCCCTCCAACAGGTGAGGAAGTATCCATAAACCCCTCTAAAATGTGAGAGTTCCCCATCAACCCCCTAAACACGTGGAGGGGTATGTCAATCCCTAGGCAACTGAAAACATTTAAAATTATCCCCAGATAGCCAGGATTTTCAAAGTGCCTTTTCAAGAGGATATTTTTGCACGCTTTCAATTATTTATATTTTCTAGTGATGGAAGAAGTGCATATATGTATATTCAATCTTCTCTTGCATTTAGTCAAAAAGAATTGATTGAGCATCTATGTGCAAAGCATTGTTCAAAATGAAACCATCAGTGAAGTGTAAAGGAGCGACCTAGAAGAGCCATGAAAGGTTAACAGATAATGTTTGTAGTCACCGCTTGGTATCTATGGCTGGCAACACTGGCTTCCGACCTTCCATGACATCATTTCCAAATACAATTTCTAGACTATTTACCTTACTGTACATGCCTCAAATCCTCTCTACAGAGGAAAACCGTTAGGTTTGTGTAATGAAAGCATTTTTAGCTCAGTAAAAGTAGAAGATGGTATCTCTTTGCCCCAAAAAACAAAACAAAACAAAACAAAAAATTACATCAAGGAACACACACACAGACACCAGTGGCTAAAAAGGCGGACTGAAAATGACAGAAAGACTTGCTCCATTTCTGGAAAAACCTACGTGAAAAAGCACTCGTGGCTCTTCAGGCCGTGCAGGCAGGAGCTGCATCAATTAATTAATGGGCAGATAATAAGAGCCACCCACTGCCAGTCATTTTGACTATGTCCTCAAGTCACTCAGACCTAGCTGCTCAGACAACTAGCATCAACTGAGCCCTTCATTTTTTGCCTTTTTGCCAATGAGGGACACGAGGCAGGAAGTGCAGTAACTGCTCACGGCTGCCTGGCAACCCAGAGCCGCACCAGCTCTCCTCAGGCCCTGCTGGAGCTCTATTAGCAGGTGCTATCTTCCATGACTGGTCAGACAACTGTGAAACCACACCTGTGCTACTGGCACAGCTTTGCAGGTGCCCAGAGAGGGCAGCGACACTTCACCCACCATGCGGGAGTCAGGGCTCTGGCTGCCTGACTGCTGGAAGATGGCTATCAGGGCCTCGGGGTTAAGCAGTGGGCTCTTTTCTTTCACACTTTCCTCGCTATTTTGAGAAGACACCATTTCAAGATCCCCAAACTTGTGGTCACTGCACATGCTTGCTGAAGGAAACACAGGTGAAGTCTGCATGGCCAAAAAAAAGAGAGAAAAAAGAAAGTCAATGCTTTTCATTGTTGGATAGCTTTTGTTTTGCCTTTGGATGAATGAATACAGATTTAAACATGCCTACCTACCAGCCACTCCCCGGAAGGAAAACTTCTTTAGTATATTACTTCTATAGTAATACCACCTCAGAAACCCAAGGAGGGGTCACGAAGAGTCAGATCCGACTCGATGGCAGTGAGTTTGGTTGTTTACTTATTTATTTTTTGGTTTATCTATTTATGGTGCAAACTGTTAAGTGCTCAGCTGCCAACAGAAAGGCTGGTGATTCAAGTCTACCAGAGGCTTCTTGGAAAAAGGTCTGGAGACCTACTTCAGAAAAATCAGCTTCTGAGAACCCTATGGAGCATGGTTCTAGTCTGACAGACTTGAGCTCTCCATGAGACAGAATCAATTCCACAGCAACTGGTTTGCTGTTGGTTTTTATCTATTTAAGACTTGAGGGAAAAGAGCTGACTAACATAACTCCAACAAGATTTGATCCTTAGAAAGAAATGATCCATACTGACTTTTCCCAGTGAGGCTATGCTGCTGACCCATAGAGCAAGGGTCTAATGTGGTGGCCAGAAAAGCTGGGAAGGGTTCAACCTCAGGCTCCCCTTACCTTCTTGTACTGAGGATGACCATCTCTAGAAAACAACTCTAGGACATAGAGAGATACTTAATCTCCTTTCCTCCCTATCACTGCTTTGGGTGAGGTGGAGGAAGTGAGGGATGGATGTGATAGAAAAAGAGGACTGGGCACTGGAAAACCCAGGTCCATTTTTATAGCTGTCTGACCTACAGAACAACGAAGTTTCTCTCTTTCAGCAAGTTACACTTGCCCCTAAACAACTTCATCCTCATCAACCCTCTAACCTATGAGAGGGATATCCTATCAATCCACTCCAAAGGTGGGAAGTACCTTGTCAATCCCTCCAACTTGTAGGAGGGAGCCTGGTCAATCCCTCTAACATGTGCAAGGTTGCTCCATTGACCACTCCAACACATAGGGAATACAGTAGGTGGAAAGGTGCCCTATCAACTTCTCCAACTTGTAAGGGGGTTTCTCATCAACCCCTATAACCTATGAAGGTGTCTCATTAACCTCTCTAACCTGTGGGGGTGCCTTGGTAGCCCCTCTAACCTGTGGAATACTTACTCAGGACACTGAGTGTATCAGAAGTGATAATGTATTGTCTGATACAGTGATCCGATTGCTATCATATTTTTCTTGTATCTCAACAGATCATCTTTACATGCAACCCCCCTTTGGAGACCACTGCCCCAGAGGTGGTGACACAAGGAATTTTCCGTGTACAGAATCCTACTGCTTTGAATCATCATACCATGTCTTCATTACTTGAGGTGTCATAATGCACAGGGTGGTTGGCATGGACTTGCTTCAGCCTCGCCAGCAGACTCTCCACCAAGTTATCTCTATCCTTAAGCTCGATGAACTGGAAGGCCATCTTGCTCCTGATGCTGACAATGATGGGGTTAGGCAGCAGACTTGTGTCCTCCATCTTCTCAATGCTCACTACCTGTTTTAAAAGAGTGTACACACAAAGAGACAGTAAGAAAGAAAGAAGACATTTAATTGTATATTCAGACAATATCCCCCAAATAGAAGGCAAAGCCCAATAACTGCAATTAGGAATTGGTATAACAGATAAAAAAAATATAAAGCAGCTACTGGATTTCTTGCTCAACTCTTAAGTATCTGGAAAATGAAGACACTTAATGCAGAACAATGACATGGAGGGAGAAGAGAAGACATATGAAAGAGCTCTGAGTTTTTCCAAAGAACAGTGCTTAGTCAACCCATTCGTATCTTACAAGTAGCAAGAACATGGTGGTCTTGATGTGTCACAGAGCCACGGGCTTTTCTCACAGTTAGAGAAGTAAGGAACTGTCTAAAACCTAAAGGACTCAGCTGCTTAGACCTGGAAGTCAAAACAGGCCCTCTCATTTCCAAGAACAGAATTACAGAATTTTATAGTACGAAGAAAGAGCCCTGGTGGTACAATGGTTATGGGGTGGCTGTTAACCAAAAGGTTGGCAGTTCAAACCCACCCAGTGGCTCCATGGGACAAAGACCTGGCAATCTGCTCCTGTAAAGATTACATCTAAAAAACCAAACTCATTGCCATCAAGTCGATTCCAACTTATAATGAACCTCATTAGTTTCTGAGATGGTAAATCTTTATAGAAGTAGACTGTCCCACTTTCCTTCCATGGAGAGGTTATTGAGTTTGAACCACCAATCTTCTGGTTAGCAATGAAATGCCTTAGGCATTACACCACCAGAACACCTTCCTGTAAATAATACTGCCTAGAAAACCCTATGGCGCAGTTCTATTCTGTCATATATAGTCTCTAGAAGTTGAAATTGACTCAATGGCACCTAACAACAACATAGTAAGAAGAGACTTTATACATTTTATAAGAAGTATTTTTAATTTTTAACAATATTCCAGGCCATCACTTGCTTGTCAGTTTGTCTTACTGTGGTGGCTTGTGTGTTGCTGTGAGGCTGGAGGTTATGCCATGGGTATTTCGAATACCAGCAGAGTCATCCATGATGGACAGGTTTCAGTGGAGCTTCTAGACTAAGACAGACTGGGAAGAAGGATGGGGTCCATCCACTAGTGAAAACATTGGTCACTGAAAACCTTATGAATAGCAGTGAGCACTGTTGATTACTAGAAAATTTCATGAAGAGCTGTGAAACACTGTCGGATACAGTGCCAGCAAATAAGCCTCTCCCAATAGAGTAAAGCTTTCAGGATTGTCATTTGCTTATGGGGCACTACTCAAAATGTGAAGAAACAATTGCAAACATACATTAATACTCAGAATGTGAAATGTATGAAGTACGAATCTAGGAAAACTGGAAGTTGTCAAAAATGAAATGGAACCCATCAAGATTGATATTCTAGGCATTTGTGAGCTGAAATGAACTGGTATTCACAATCATATGGTCTATTATTCCAGGAATGACAAACTGAAGGAGAATAGTGTTGCATTCATCATCAAAAAGAATACTTCAACATCTGTCCTGAAGTACAGTGCTGTCAGTGATAGGATAATATCCATACACCTACAAGGAAGACCAATTAATACAACTATTATTCAAAATTTCACACCAACCACCAAAGCCAAAACAAGGAAATTGAAGATTTTTACCAACTTCTGCAGTCTGAAATTGACCAAACATGGAATCAAGATGTGTCGACTATCACTGGTGATTGGAATGCAAAAGTTGGAAACAAAGCAGGATCATCAGTAGTTGGAAAATATGGCCTTGGTGATAGAAATGGCACCAGAGATCGCATGACAGAATTTTGCAAGACCAACGACTTATTCATTGCAAATACCTTTTCCAACAACATAAACAGTGAATGTATACGTGGACGTCACCAAATGGAACACACAGGAATCAGACTGACTACATTGGTGGAAAGAGGGACTGGAGAACCTCAATATCATGAGTCAGAACAAAGCTAAGAGGTGACTGTGGAAGATCATCAATTGCTCATATGATGTTCAAGCTAAAGGTGAAGAAAACCTGAAACAATTCCATGAGAGATATAGAATGACCTTGGGTATATCCCACCCGTATTTAGAGACCATCTGAAGAATAGATTCGATGCACTGAACACCAATGACAGAAGATCAGACAAGCTGTGGGATGACATAAAGAATATTATACAAAAAGAAAGCAAAAGATCATTAAAAAGACAAGAAAGGGAAAAACACCAAATGGATGTCAGAAGAGACTCTGAAACTTGCTCTTGAATGGAGAGTGGCTAAAGTGAAAGGAAGAAGTGTTCAAATAAAAGAGATGAATAGAAGATTTCAAAGAGCAGCTTGAAAAGACAAAGTAAAGTATTATAATGAAATGTGCAAAGACCTGAAATTAGAAAGCCAAAAGGAAAAACCACACTCAGCGTTTCTCAAGCTGAAACAACTGAAAAACTTGAGCCTTGAGCCTTGAGTTGCAATATTAAAGGATTCTACGAGCAAAATATTGAATGATGCAGGAAACATCAATAGAAGATGAAAGACAGAGTCACTATACCAAAAAGAATTCGCAGACATTCAATCATTTTAGGAGGCAGCATATGATCAAGAACCAATGGTATTGAAGGAAGAAATCCAAGCTGCACTGAAGGAACCGGTGAAAAATCAGTCACCAGGAACTGATGAAATTACCCACTGAGATATTTCAACAAACAGATGCAGCTCTGAAGGTTCTTACCCACCTATACCAGGAAATTTGGAAGACAGCTGCCTGGCCAATGGACTGGAAGAGATCTGTATTTGTGCCTATTTCAAAGAAAAGTGATCCAACAGACTGTGGAAATTATCGAACAATATTAGTAGTACCACATGCAAGTAAAATCTTGCTAAAGATAATTCAAAAACAGTTGCAGCAGTGTATTGGCAGGGAACTGCCAGAAGTCCAAGCTGGATTCCGAAGAGGACATGGAACTAGGGATATCAATGTTGATGTCAGATGGATCTTAGCTGAGAGCAAAGAATACTAGAAAGATGTTTGTGTTTTACTGACTATCCAAAGGCATTCAATTGTGTGGATTGAAACAAATTGTGGCTAACATTGTGAGGAATGAGAATTCCAGAATATTTGTTTTCATGAAGAACCTGTACATAGAGACACAGAGGCTTTTGTTCTAACAGAACAAGAAGATACTGAATGGCTTAAAATCAGGAAGGGAGTACGTCAGGATTGTATCCTTTCTTATTCAATTCACCATACTTATTCAATCTGTATGCTGAACAAATAATCTGAGAAGTTGGACTGTATGAAGAAGAATGTGGCATCAGGATTGGAGGAAGATTCATTAACAACCTGCAATATACAGATGACACAACCTTTCTTGCTGAAAGTGAAGTTGACTTGAAGCACTTACTGATGAAGATTAAAGACTGCAGTCTTCAGTACGTAAAGAAAACAAAACAATAAGCAACATCATGATAAATGGAGAAAAGACTGAAGTTGTCAGGGATTTCATTTTACTTGTATTCTCAATCATTAATACTCAAGGAAGCAGCAATCAAGAAATCAGATGTCATATTGTACTGGGCAAATGTGCTGCAAAAGACCTCTTAGAGTGCTGTAGAGCAAAGATGTCTCTTTGAAGACTAAGATGCACCTCACCCAAGCCATGGTACTTTCAATCACCTCATATGCATGTGAAATGTGGACCAAAGAAGAGTTGAAGCTTTTGAGTTGTTGTGCTGATGAAGAATACTGAATGTACCATGGACTGCCAGAAGATTAAACAAATATGTCTTGGAAGAAGTGCAGCTGGAATCCTTCTTAGAAGCAAAAATGGCCAGACTTAGTTTCACCTACTTTTGTTATGTAGGGACCAGTCCCTGGAGAAGGATATCATGCTTGGTAAAGTGTACGGTCAGTGCAAAAGGGGAAGACCCTCAACGAGATGCACTGACGGTGTCTGCAATGATGCTTAAGCACAGCAGGGACTATGAGGACGATGCAGAGCAGGGCACTGTTCCGTTCTACTGCACACAGGGTCGCTGTGAGTTGGAGCCGACTAGACAGCACCTAACAACAGCAACAACAATGCTCCAGGAGAGTATAAAAGCCAAGTAGTTTGCCAATTTTTAAAAGGCAAAGGCTTTTATAAGTTGCCTTTTTTCTTTTCTTTTTTGGAGGGTAAAATGGGAGAAGACTCATTCCTAAGAGTTTTTGGAAAAACTTTTATTGCTAAGCATGTACTTTTTTTTTTTTCAAAATTTTTTATTGTGTCTGAGGTGAACTGTTTACACAGCAAATGAGATTCCTATTCAACAATTCATACACACATTGTTCCGTGCCACGGGTTACAATCCCTGCAGTGTGTCAACACTCTTACCAATTCCACTCCACCTGCCATCCCTCCAGTTTTCCTGCTCCTCCTTACCGCCTTATCTTTGCTTTAGGGTAAATGTCGACCTTTAGGTCTCATATGGGAGCTCTGGTAGCATAGTGGCTAAGACACTTGCCTGCTAACCAGACGGCTGGCGGTTCAAACCCACCAGCTACTCCTCGGAAGGAAGGTTGGGCAATCCTACTTCCGTAGTGATACTGCCTCGGAAACCCAAGGAGGGGTCGCTATGAGTCGGGGCCGACTCGACGGCACATAGCAACAACAACAACAACAAGGTCTCATATAACTGTTTAAATGAGCACATCGCTCATGGGTGTTATTGCTTATTTTATAAGCCAGTCTATTATTTGGCTGAAAGGTGATCTTTGGGAGTGGATTCAGTTCCAGGTTAAAAGGGTATCTTAGGGCAACAGTCTCAGGGGTTCCTCTAATCTCTATCAGTCCAGAAAGTCTGAACTTTTTTTCATGAATTTTAGTTTTGTTCTACATTTTCCTCCCATTCTAACTGGGATCTCCTATTGTGTCCCTGGTCAGAAATGGTGGTGGTGGTGGTAGTAGGGTACCATCTAGTTCTTCTGGTCTTGGGTAGAAGAGTCTGTGGTTTGCATGGGTAAGCAAGTACTTTTCAGTAACTGCTTTCTTAATATCGTGGAGGTTATGTGAGGATAAAGATTTATGCTTTGTTAGTTCTGACTCCATATTGTTAGAATTAGAGCCCATATTTTTAGTTAACATGCCATTTCTTTAAAACCTGGCTTCAACCTTGTGTTGTAATTAACTTGTTCTCTCTCTCAGATACAGTTATAGTTCCTGTTGCATCCTGTGATCTAAGACAGAGACATCTATATCAATAAAGGCATCTGGGCCGGACTTTGCAACCAGCCACCTGAACTTTGACAAACACTGGTGGAGCCTCTTATGGTTACCTATCTCCTGGGAACTCAGAAGCAACATTCCTTTCTTAATTGCCCATTGTCCTAACTTTTGGAAAAGTGTTAACTAATCCTGCATATATGGCATGTCTCTTTTTTTCATTTAGTGTAAGAATCCCTGACTGTAAGCGCTGAGCAAAATGGGTGTTTTTGGAGTCACTGAGCCCCTGTCAGTCTCTGGTTGGTGCGTTTCCTAACTGAACTCTCTTCTTCCTGAACTCTGGTGAAGAGTATTGGCTGTGCTGCTCCAGGGCCGGCTCTGGCATTTTTCAGCCAACAGACTGTTTTCACCAATCACATCTATGCATTTTAGGTTGCCCTAACAGCAACAGAAAAAAGCAAAGGTTAAAAGGGTGACAGTCAAATGCAGGCCACGCCTCTTCAACAAGCCAGGGCAAGACATCCATGTTTAGGTGATGAAAGCTTGCTGTGTTATTCCCTCTTCCTGGGGCCCATCTTACAGCCAGCAACCCGTGGTTAAACATGACAAAAGTCTGGCTTCAGGAAGTATGCGCTACGGTAGCTATAACAAAACCAGCAGTGGTGAAAGGCAGTGTCTACCTCTCTGAGTGGAAGGACAACATTACAACAGCCATCTTCCTTGCTAGCAAAGCAGATGTAACTATCAGAGGTAAACATCCGCCCCACAGTGTGACAGCGACTAAATGGTGTCCAAAGAGAACAATCCATGACTGCATGCAGCTTCTCTTTCCTTGGCAACCTGAAGAAGGCCCGGAAGAACTCCTTCTGTGCTCTGGCTTCAAGATCCCTGGGGGAAAAAAAGAGAAAATAAAAAGGAGGAGGAAAAGTTGGGGAACACACTAGATTGCAAAGGAAAACATTTTTAAGCCCACTGGCACACCGTGCATGCAAAGATCATAAAACCAAAACAAAACCCCTGCCGTCAAATCGATTCTGACTCATAATGACCCTATAGGATAGAATAGAACTGCTCCACTGTACATCTTTATGGAAGCAGATTGTTTCATTTCTCTCAAGGAGTGGCTGTTGTTGTCGTTAGGTGCTGTCGAGTCATTTCCGACTCATAGCGACCCCATGCACAGCAGAACGAAACACTGCCCGATCCTGTGCCAACTCCATGATCCCTGCTATACTTGAGCCCATCATTGCAGCCACCATGTCAATCCATCTCGTTGAAGGCCTCCCCCTTTCGTCGACCCTCCACCCTACCAAGTGTGACATCCTTCTCCAGGGAATGGTCCCTTCTAACAACATGACCAAAATAGGTGAGACGAAGTCTGGCCATTTTCGCTTCCAAGGAGCATTTCGGGTGCACTTCCTCCAGGACAGATCTGTTAGTTCTTTTAGCAGTCCACGGTAATTTCAGCATTCTTCGCCAGCACCACAACTCAAAAGCATCAACTCTTCTTCGGTCTTCCTTATTCATTGTCCAGCTCTCACATGCATACCAGGCGATTGGAAATATCATGGCTTGTGTCAGGCGCACCTTAGTCCTCAAGGAGACATCCTTGCTCCTCAGCACTTGAAACAGTTCCTTTGCGGTAGACCTTCCCAATGCTACACATCATCTAATGTCCTGACTGCTGCTTCCGTTGGCATCGATTGTAGAACCAAGCAACGTGAATTCTTTGACAACCTCAATCTTCTCTCCGTTTACTGTAATGCTGCTCATTGGTCCAGTTGTAAGGATTTTTGTTTTCTTTATATTGAGACATAATCCATACTGCAGACTGTATTCTTCAACCTTCATCAGTAAGTGCCTCAAGTCATCCTCACTTTCAGCAAGAAAAGTTGTATTGTCTGCATATCTCAGGTTGTTAATGATTCTTCCTCCAATCTTGATCCCATGTTTTTCTTCATATAGTCCAGCTTCTCGGATTATTTGCTCAGCATATAGATTGAATAAGTGTGGGGAAATGATACAACCCTGACGCACTCCCTTCTTGATTTTAAATCATGTAGTGTCCTCTTGTTCCATTCGAACGACAGCCTCCTGGTCAAGGTACAGGTTCCGCATGAGTACAATCAAGTGTTCGGGAATTCCCATTCTTCTCAATGTTATCCATAATTTATCATGATCCACACAATCAAATGCCTTTGCATAGTCAATAAAACACAAGTAAACATCTTTCTGGTATTCTTTGCCTTGAGCCAAGATCCATCTGACAACAGCTATGATATCCCTTGTTCCATGTCCTCTTCTGAATCCAGCTTGCACCTCTGGAAGTTCTCTGTCAATATACTGCTGCAAACATTTTTCAATTATCTTCAGTAAGATCTTACTTGCGTGTGATATTAATGATATTGTTCTATAATTTCCACATTCTGTGGGATCACTTTTCTTTGGAATGGGTATAAATATGGATCTCTTTCAGTCAGTTGGCCAGGTGGCTGTCTTCCAAATCTCTTGGCATAACCGAGTGAGTGCCTCCAATGGGGCATCCAGTGTTGAAATATCTCAATGGGTATTCTGTCAACTCCTGGAGCCTTGTTCTTTGCCAATTCTTTCATTGCAGCTTTGACTTCCTCCTTCAGTACCATTGGTTCTAGATCATATGCCACTTCCTGAAACGGATGAAGATCAACCAGTTCTTTTTGGTACAGTGACTCTGTGTATTCCTGGCATCTTCTCTTGACGTTTCCTGCATCATTCAATATTTTGCCCAGAGAATCTCTCAATATTGCAACTCAAGGCTTAAATTTTTTCTTTAGTTCTTTCATGGAGCGGCTAGTGGATTTGAAATGCAGCCAACTGCTTTAACCACTGCACCACCAAGAGCTCCTAAAATTGATGACCCGAACCCCAACCTGTGATACAATCTGACCTCACCAGGCTATGCTTCCTTACACTCTTTCTGCATTTGTTCCATTTCCATGAGCCCCAACCTGTCACATCATCACACATCAGTCTTCCAAAGTGTTATGGACTGAATTGGGTCCCCAAAATACACGCATTGGAAGCCTAACCCCTCTACCTAAGGGTGTGATCTCGTTCAGAAATAGGGTTTTGTTATGTTAATGAGCCCATGTCAGCATAAAGCAAAGACCAAACTCACTGCCATGAAGTCGATTCTGGCTCATAAAGACCCCCACTGGATTTCCAAGGCAGTAAATCTTTATGGAAGTAGATTGCCCAATCTTCCTTCCACAGAGTGGCTGGTGCATTTGAACCACCAACTTTCTGGTTAGCTATCAAATGCCTTAGTCACTGTACCATCAGAGCTCCTTATGCCAGCATAGGGTGTATCTTAAACTTAATCACTTTTAAGATTTAAAAGAGCAGATGAAGCCTAGAGACAAGCAAGCACAAATGGAGGAAAGGTAGATGCTACCTGGAGATCTCCAACAGAAGAATGTTAAGAGAAGCTGGGAAAAGGACATATCCCCAGAGCAAACAGAGAGAGCCTTCTCCTAGAGCCAGTGCCCTGAATTCAGACCTCTAGTTTCCTAAACTGTGAGAACAGAAGTTGCTGTGTTTTAAAGCCACCCACTTGGTATTTCTGTTATATCAGCACTAGGAAACTAAGACACAAGGAGATATCACAGAGAAATGGGCATTCGATAGAATTTAGTATCAAACTTTCACAAAGAGAAGATGCAGACATGTTTAAAAAAAATACTCTGAGCAAAAAGATTATTATACAGATTCTCCACATCATGATGGTCCCAGTGTGGGCTAAAGAACAGTGGTTCCTTAAATACCTTATACAACATGGACTACTGCTTCCCAAGTGACCTCAGTTTCTTCCAGAGAGGGGCTAGAGAACATGGGAAAGCACTGAGGACACTGTAGATGTTCATGCACTGCAAGACACAAAGGCAAGGTCCACAGGGTTACTTACCCCAAGGTCCCTGAGAACTGACCCATGTCCAGCACATCAGGCCCTGGAGAATTTCTAACTTTGTCCCCAGTGTGTGTCTGCATGTTGGTTGTGGTGAAAATGAAGCCAAGGCTTACTACCTTTACAAATATGCTTCCAGTCACCACTGAATCCAATGTTTTCTTTCCCTCCCTGGATGGACGTTACTTTCCCCTGAAGAGATAGTTGAAGCAAAGATGAATACACGGCAAATAACATAAATCACAGCAGCCTGTGCTGAGCTACACGAAGGGTTGTTGTTGCCAGGTGCCACCAAGTTGATTCCGACTCACAGGGACCCCATGTGACAGAGTAAAACTGTTCCACAGGGTTTTCTAGGCTGTAATCTTGACAGAAGCAGATCTCCAGGCCTTTATCTCACAGAACTGCTGGGTGGGTTTGAACTGCCAGTCTTTCAGTTAGCAGCCTAAACTTAACCATTGTGCTATCAGGATTCATACACGAAGGTAGAGGATTTATATTTATGTTTATTTTGCACTCCATTTCCTCTAAGAATAAGGTAGGTGTTCAGTTATCTGAGGCTGATTAACCCCCCCCCCCATTTAACGCACCTGCTGCCTCAGCCAACAGCTCAGATCAACCAGCTTCTCTGTGCGCTTCTAAGCAGCCCTGGTATATTTTAAACAAAGTCTCCATTCTCCTTTCTGAGCTGTTCTCTTTTTCACTGTAGAGGTTTGTCTACTGCACATTCAGTAGCTAGAGACCAGAAACTCCAAGTTAAAAATAAAAAGGAAGTAGCAGGAGGGACCTTCCCAAGATCTGAGTTCATTGTCATTCCCCCCTACTAGAAAGTTCTCTTCCAATTCCACCTTGAAGTATGCATTATAGACATGATAAGGAGCTCTGGTATTATAGTGGTTAAGGCATTTTTGGCTGCTAACCAAAAGGTCAGGTTCTAACCCATTGCCACTCTGGAGGAGAAAGATGGGGCAGTCTGCTTCCATAAAGATATACAGCCTTGGAAACCCAATGGGGTCACTATGAGTCAGAATCAACTCAGTAAGTTTGGTTTTAAACACATGGTATTTAACTTTCTAACGTAACTGAGATGGCTATAGTAACTTAAAGAGATGAGAAACACAAGCTCTTAGGAAATGCAGAAAAAGATCACCCTATCCTTTAGGCTGGGAGCTCTGGTGGCATAGTGCCTAAGGCATTTGACTACTAACCAGAAGGGTGGAGGTTCAAACCCACCAGCCACCCCTTGGAAGGAAGGTTGGGCAATCTACATCCATAGTGATACTGCCTTGGAAACCCAAGGAGGGGTCGCTATGAGTTGGGTCCAACTTGATGACAATGGGTTTGGTTTGGTTTGTATCCTTTAGGTTGGAGTCCCCAGGTAGCACAAATAGTTAACCATTTAACTACTAGCTCAAACCCACTGAACAGAATCTCAGAAGGCAGGCCTGGAAATCGGCTTCTGAAAGGTCACAGCCTTGAAAACCTTCCAGAGCAATTCCACTCTGTACACACGGGGTCTCTGAGTTGGAACAGGCTTGATGGCAACTAACAACGACATCCTCTAGGTCTGTTTCTTTTAAGTGATAGTGCTGATGTGCAATATATCGATTCCTTTTTCTGAACACATCAAAAACAATGCCTACCTGTCACAACCTGCCTTTCAGACCTTGATTTTAAAGCATTCCAATACTACTAAATGTCTCTACTTTTCTTCCGTGGAGAAGACCAACAGACATCAATCACAGCTTAACATTAGGAAAGCAGTAGCTAACTACAGGCCAGAAACCCTGAAGAAATGCCTGTCTGAGGATGGAAAATAGCTGAAGAGCCCTAACAATATTTACTACCCACTGCCTACATTGCTGGTATGCACAGGCCAAAACCACTGCTCCGAAAGAAAACTATGGCTGACAATATCAGGGGAGGATGACACAAATCCTATCTT